AGGAATGCCACATCTGCTTCTTTCCTTTTACAGTACCCTCCTTGCCTTAGCCTTTTGAGGTGTTTCCCTTGGGCAAAATGAGAACAGCGATGTGCCTCTGCCCCTTCTCAAGAGTTTGTGGGCAGACTCAAAATTACAAATCCCTTGTAATTTATCCTCTTCTGTCCCTCACCACCACCTTACCTTGATTGCATCACTGCACTTCCCCCTTCAGGTCAATTCTTCAGTCAGGATCTCTCTCCTCAAGTGGTCATAAATTCTATTTTTTTCCTCTCATTTCCATAATGTGCTTATTACAATGTATGTGCGTTATTCCTATTTTAGAACGTGCGTAGGTCACGGCATCCAGGGAGACACAGTTCGCATAGAAGGTGCTATGTAAAATACTAGTGAAATTACTTTGTTTCAGTTGCAAACTTGTACAGCTCAACTGACTTCCCTAAAGTTGCACTGGTTTAGTTTAGGAAGTGAACTGACCCGCCTGCCATGAGTGGGTCAGTAATAAACCCACGGTATGTGTCTTTGCCTTTACAGGAAGGTGCTGTGCTTACCCTGCCATGCAGAGTTTTCTCTCCCTTGGTTAATCTTCCTTTGGTGGCTGCAGCAGCGGTACAGTCTTGACTTGCAGCAATGGTCTCCCTTCCCATAGCAGAAGATTTTACCAAATTGTCACTTTATAAAGAAAACAAAAATACTTTCAATTTTTAGCCAAGGCAACGAGCATTATAAACCTGGATCTCCTTACCCATCCTCCCTACATTCATGCCTATTTGGAGGGCTGCAGTTTTTGGGGTCCTCCAAAGTGACTCCAACCATTGTCCATATTTATCACTGGGACTGGGCTCTGTCAAGCTATTAACAAACAGAGGTTTTAAGCATTCACTAGCTGTGGCTGGTTTGAAATGAGTCAGACCTTACAACCCCACTGGGAAGTGAACAGCAAGCAAATGTATCAACATGTCTTGTACGCAAGCTCTGGAACAAATTCTGTTAAATATGGAGAAAATGTTAGTCATTACCTCCACATTCAACAGCAGTTTCTTACCTTTTCTTGAGTTTTTGTTGTTTGCTCTTACTATTAATTTACATATCAATCCCAAACCCGTCTCATATCCAGTAACAACCTCCATGCAGGCTTGTATGGGCTTTTGGAGCAAGTTCTTCAGTGTCTGAGACAGCTTTAAGCTTACCTAAAGAGCTGCTCCTGTGATGGACAATTTCTGGAAGTGATGGTGCCTTTGATGTCCTCTATAGCTGTGAAATAAATGCATTTTTTTTCCTAAATGCTTTAGAATCCCATTTTGTACTGTATAGCCTTTGAGAGACTGGCAATACAGAGGAAAAAACAATTACAAAGAATTATTTCTAAGGGTAGAAATACCAAAGTGAGGCTTGAAGAACAGCACATATAGTGGCTAATTCTGTTTATTGCATGATTGTTGTCTACTAAGATGGAACTGTTTATTCAAGAACTAATTTTGAGGTGATGAGTCAGCTAATTTAACAAGCATATTTTTCTCCACACAAAGCAACAGCTTACTGTGATTGGATCTCAGCTTTAAATGCCCATAATAAAACAAATGTAAGACTGGCTTTTCCAGTTTTATTTTCTTTTCCCTCTTTCCAACTCTGAACAGCAGTTCTGAAAATGAACACAGTTTCCCTCTTCCCCCTAGTTCTTTAATGTTAAGTACAATATTAAGGAAACAATTGATTGAGACCTAGGAAGAATCATTCCAACTCATTTGGATTACCTGGAAAACCAGCACCTGTCTTCTCTTCTGCAGTAATGTGTGAATGAAGAAATTCTGCAAAGGCCCCATTTCTCTGTAGAAGTTCTTGGTAGGAACCAATTTCTGAGATTGTTCCATCCACCAGCAAAAGAATGTTGTCCACTTGAGGTAAAATGTTGATTGTGTGAGTCACCAGCACACGAGTCTGCTTGAACAAAGAGGGAAAAGTTACAATTTTTCTGGTGTTTCCCTGCTCACTCGAGCTGTTGCAGTCAGCTGTCTTCTGAAGAAAGACATGTACTCAGTGTGAGCTATGATTTTTACTAACTTGCAGATATTTTTTTTATTTATTCTTATCACTTCTAACTGTCTCTTTGATAAAGTTTATCTTTGCAGCACAGCTTTGTCACCCTTTTTGAAAGTGCTGAACTCAGGAGTGGAGGGGTGAATCAACTTGCTTTGTCTATGTAAAGCAGAAAACAGCGAGGATGGGAACTGAAGCATGAAGTCCCAGGCTAGCGCCCTGTGTGTAGGAGGACCTTTTCCTTGGCTCACTGACCAGTTCCCCTGCTTAAGTAGAATGAGATTAACTGAAGAGTATGTCACATTTATTGTCACTGATTTCAGGCACAAATTTGATTCTGAAATATTGATAACTTCATCAACCTGAATGGAGTGCACCTCCTTTTCATGTAAGTTTCTGAGCATGTTTGCACAGATAATTACGTATAGGAAAGGATGTAAGAAAAGTGATTTTTCCCTAGATAACAAATTGGCATGTTCTATATTTCTAATACACAATCAAGCCCTTTGAGTACTGCTTAAGTTTGATACCTGCTTGCTTTGCCAGTCTTTCTATGTTTCAATACAATAATTACATTCTGATACTTTTGTATTTGTAATCAGACATGTCTGTTTTAATTAGACTTTCTAATGAAATAAATTACCTATTTTCCTTCTACAATGTGAAATTGAATGAAGTATTTGTAGGCAATTTGTACCACGAAACAAAGAGAGCTGCCCTAGCATCCCTTCTCATGTAACCACATTTATTATGCAGATTGCTTGACAGCATAGAAATACCAAAGAATAACAAAATGCAACCAATGAAAAAAAAGAATGGAAGAGAATTGTTTAAGGTGGATTTTAAGACTGAAGTTTAAGTCATGAACATTTGGGTGATGAGAACTGTAAAGGCGCTACTGAACTATTCAAAAATGATGGGATTAGACATCATGATAAGACACAATGAGCTGGAAGAGATCAGACAGCTCTTCCTAACTATACTAGAAGTAAATCTCAAAAAAGGAGAAGGATAATATCAAGAGAAGACCAAAGAACTTGCTTTAGAAGTAAGGCTGGAACTAGGCATGTGGTTTGCATGAGGATAAAGACAGTATTTCAGAACCTAACTTTTCAGTCTTCCTAGGTGAGATTCACTGCAGGACTTCCATGTGCTGTGTGGACTGCAGAAGTTACCTATTCCACTTCCACTGTCGTTAACAGTAGTAGACCTGCTGCCACTAGCAAAAAAGGATTTGGGAGCCTTTGATAAAGTGAGTAACCCACCTTACTGGAAATGTTTCAGGGGCCCTGATAATTAGATACATTTTGCAATATTTTACAGTTACAAGTTTATAACACACCTTGTCCTTCAGTAAGCTGTTGGGTCCAAGAACATGTTCAAAAATGTGCTGTCCAACATGGACATCGACAGCTGAGAGGGGGTCATCTAGAAGGTAAACCGAAGCCTTCTGGTACACGGCACGAGCAAGGTTCACTCTCTGCTTCTGCCCTCCAGATATATTTATTCCCTGTAAAAATGTATTGACACTGTTTATTCCAAAGCTACAGCATATTTGTCAACTATTGGCTCCATTTCACTCTGAGGTTTTATGACTTCCTTATGTTTAAACCAGTGCTGCCTTTCCTCCCTCCCTCCTTCCCTCCCAAGTAGGGCTCTTGAGATGCAGAGGCAGGTTCTCTTGAGCAGCTCTAGTCTCCTACAAGAGAGGACCCAGGAATGACCTGGACTTGTTGATTTTGTCTTAACCTGAGATATGAGAGATACTTAGGTTAACTGTCAGGGGGTGGGCTTCAGACCCCGTTAAATCATGGCCTGGCTTTTCAGACATTACTGAGCACCCGCCTCCTTCAAGTTTAGTCCTTTTGTAGGTGTTATAAGCGGGACACCCAAAGTTGTAGCTACTCATGGAAAAGCTGGCGAAAATATAAACCTAAGCCAGTACCTTCTCTCCTATTTCACTCTTCTGCCCGGCAGGGAAGCTCTCCAGATCAGGTTGCAGTGCACAAGCATCTATCACTGTATTGAACCATGTTTCATCCATCTCTTTCCCAAAGAGAATGTTATCTTCCACTGAAGCATTTTGTATCCAAGCTTGCTGGGGGACATAAGCGGTGGTGCCCTGTAAAAAATGGAAGAATGTTAACTTTTTTTTTTAATAAGCTCACTTTGACACTGTGGGAACCTGTCTTTGAAGAGAAACTCTCCCAGTTAGATTTACAGAAATCTGGAATGATCATCACCATTGACAGGTCTCAGAGGGCTTTGCAAAATATGAGTCTGCACTTCCATTATCTTTGTCCTGGGTTTGGCCAGGACAGGGTTAATTTTCACCGGACTCCAGGAAGGGGCACAGCCGGGGAGTGGGGGCTGACCCCACCTGGCCAAACAGAGCCCGGTATTCCATACCCTGTGACGTCACGCTGGGTTCCGGTGGGGGGGGGCGGCGCGGCGGGAACTCACTCGTGGCTTGGGGGGACACGGCGCCGGTGCTGTGCGGGAGAGCAGCTGTCTGGGTCTTGCGTTTCGTTGTTGTGTTTTCTCCTTATTTGTACCGTTGTTGTTCCTGTTT